GCATGTTTTTCAAATTTTAAAGGCACGTGAAAAATTAAAATAGAGAAACATTATGCTATTTTTAATATTTTGCTTGTAAAAATTCAAAGAACTAAATTAGAAACATTTTAAAAGTTATAATATTCCTATTATGTACAATTGATTGTTTTACTATATTATTGCTATATTTAAAATGTTCTTTTTAGTGTTTACACACTTTGGGCACGTGAAAAATTATCAAACCTTTTATTGCAAAAATTTGGAGCTAGGTCAAAAAAAGGTTAGCCACCTCTGTTATATATTGTTATACAATTATTACATTTCAAGGATTATGAATAAAATTGTTGATATGAACTTATTTTTTCCGTAATTCTTCCTTAATTGTTCTCCTTAAATCTCTCAAAATTAATATTGAATTTTAATTTTTAAAGGGCTTAAAATTACTATTAAATGAAACTGATGATAAAATGATTGATGTTGATAAAGTAATTGAATCAAAAACTGATGTTTCGTGGTTATTAACAAGTCTACCACAACTTCCAAATTTTCCCGCTTTTAAGTCTCAAGTAAGTGTTATAATTTATTTTCAATTTTGAGCTGAATGATGTGTGTTTTTCTATTATTTGTTGACTTAAATATTTTTAGATTGTTATAGCTCTGAGACAAGCTTGTCAAGTAGAAAATGATCCACACTTAATAACTGCATACTTAACATTTTTGGCTGATCGGACAASTGATGTGGACAAGGTGGATAGTTTAACTAATGAGCAGCTTACTGACATGGTGCTTGACATGGCTCAATTAATTGTTGAACGGAGTACAGTTATGGCTGCAGTCCTACCTATATCAACAGATACAGTTGCCGTGTTCAATATTGCTCTAAATTCTTTAGTCAACATATTTTACACTTTTTTTTGCAGGGTGAGTCTATTTTTACTAAAGTATAAATTTTTATATATAATTGATTGTCGTTYGTAGGCTAGAGAACCTTGTCGTCAAAATCATCCTTGGTCAGAAAATCAAGATCAAATTCTTGTGACATGGCCAGGTGGTCAAGAATGCACTTTACACATTCTGGTTGTACATGCTATGATTATACTGTTGACTTATGGCCCTCAGTGTATTCATGATTCATTGAAATTTGATAATTTGTTAGAAGCTTGGTTTCCAACAGATAGAAAACAAATGCCTAAAGTAAACCATAATTTACTATTTATAATAGCTTAAATATTGTTTACTATTTATTCAACAAAAAAATTATGTTTTTTTTTTTTACAGGCTTATTTGGTTGATACATCAGAAGAAGCATTACTCATACCTGATTGGCTTAAGCTGCGTATGATTAGGTCTAGGGTTCCTAGGCTAGTAGAAGAAGCATTGACCGATCTTGAACCGCCTCAATTAATATTATTTATTCAGTCATTTGGGATACCAGTTGCATCAATGAGGTAAGTTGATACTATAGAATTTTTAAAAACACTTAGTATTCTTTTGAGACGTAAATTAAAACTGTACTTAGCAAACTATTGGACATATTGGACAAAGCTGTGTGTCTTGATCCAGAAGCCATTAAAGCTGCTGTCATGGATAAGGCTTATATGGTTCAACTTGTTCAAGTACAGCAGAGACGCGGAGCACAGGGAGGTCAAATATTCTCATCTGTATTAACTGTAAATGAAGAATTAACAATGATGGAAGTAGAAGAAAAAGTACAATTATYTGATAGATTGAACTTACAAATAAAAGGTACATAATTTTGTAAATAAATAAGTGATTTTCAATAATATTATCATAATGATAAATTTACAGTTTAAACTAATAATTTTATTGTTTTAGACAAACCAATTAGTTTATTTGATAAGCATAAGAATATAAATGTTGATTTAATCATTAAAAATCTTTTTACTTCTAAGATGGAGGGTGAAGAATTTTTATCTTTTTTACAAGTATGTTAAACAATTTTATAATTATTTCTTTATGTATTATGTTCTAATTTTTTATATTTGTAGTCTTTATCTCAAGATGCAAAATCATTAGCTCAAAAGTTTATGATAGCYATGTTAAAAAATATGCTGAAAAGTAAAGGKTTTGTGCGTTCTGTCGTAGCTAATGAAAATATAACTTGCCATTTACTTAAASTGTTGATGACGAAATGTGGCTACAACAAAATATTGATGTCTATTATTAAATTGATGTTAGTTCAATTGAATTTAAAGAAAAAACAAAATAACTTGCGCACAATTGTATTAAATTATAAAAACAAATATGGTTCGTTGTATTATTTTTTTTTTTTATGAAAATTATGTTTTGTTTTCTAAAAATTCCTTTTAAGCTAAACTGCATTTAGTTTCTTTATTCCTTGGTGTTAAAATGTCTAATTTTGGTTTAGTGGAGAAAAATAAAAAGACATCTCAAAAGAAGAAAAAAACAAAAGAATCAGAATTGATGGAAGTTGATAATTTAATTAAAGAACAAAAACGTTCGCTTTTTGTAGATCTACCAAAAGAAATCGAACTAAAAATATCTGATTTAACAATTGATCAACAGGTAACATATCATTAAAATTTAAATATAGTTATTAAAATTACTCAAAATTGTCCTTTTTTTAAGGTTAATATGTTGTTTTCAAAGACAACTAGTGAGAAATGGAATTCTGTAAGAAAATGCAGACCATACTTATTAACTTTACTTAATCACCACATGAATTGGTCATCGTTGGAATGTGTTTTAGATATTTTGTTACAGCTAAACAATGTTGAAAAGTTAGTTACTAATTTATTCATGTTTCATTTTTAATAATAATATTAAAATTAACGATTATAGAAATATTAACAATACATTTTTCCTTCTATTTTCTATTGTATACCTAGATAAAAAATA